TGTATATATAACTGTCTGACTACGAAGTGGCCTGGGAAGCCACTTCAATCGCGGATGAATATGATATCATGAGTTTCATACACTAGTAAAAATATACTCACGGGCGTCGGTGTACTCCATTTTTCGCTCTGTGTATTCCAATTTAAAGATCAGTTATTTCAATTCTTACTGAAGTACTTTTCTTCTATGTGTCCCGATTCAGCTGAATACACTCCATTTTTCATTTCATAGTTGTCAATTTACACTCTGTGACTGCAACTTGAAGAGTGCCAATAGCTACTCATAACTTTGATCTGATTGCGGCACGAGAAATAATGTTGGGAATCGGGAATTGATTCGCACAATACTCAGCCTACCGTCATAATTTAACTGATTTGCAGGTGGATGTGGCACGACGAGATATCATAGAGATCGGAGATTCGGATGACGACGGCTTAGATTTTGACGAAGATACGGCCGATCTTGACAGACAGGAAGGTGTCAACACACATCTCAACGACGTACACAACGTGAAAGATACCCAGGTAATTGGCGAATATATATATATTTTTGACTATATGCACATATACGCCAGCGGCATTGTATTTGTAGCGCGTTGACAGATCATTCTTTTGCGGCCAGTCTATCATATCGAGAAGTCTTTTTACATTGGTAATACTGATTTTTGCCTCAATATGGGCAACACACATGCTAACAGTAAATATATGTATAAATGCGATATACAACGTTTCGAAACTATTTATGAACATATGTATATGTAAATATGTTTTGTCTGTAAGCAAATACGCAGCAGAAAATGTCAAAATCTTTATATTCAAATATATTTTGTGTCTATGCAAAAACTCAGGGACGAGTGCTAGTGAATCTGGACCATGACCCTAGCGAAGCGGATGTTTTCCTTCTCCCCGAGTTGGCAGAGAAAGCCAAACCACATCAGATAGGTGGCGTGCGGTTTATGTACGATGTAGTGGTGGACTCTATCGCAACGTATGGAGATGGCAGGTATATACGTTGATATTCTCCGAGTGCTTGTATTGAGTATAAATTA